AGCGTAGCCAGAGGTATCTGGGAGGGTCCAGAGCAGGGAGAGAAAGTAGACTAACCATGGCCATGAATCTACCCAGCCATGAGAGGAGAGAGATGGGGTGGGGGGAGGAAGAGAGAGAGAGCAAGAGGGTGGAGGGAGGGCATGGCCTAAACCGCCAGGGTATACAGGGACCAGAAGAGGGGGAAGGGAAGCCGGTGAGCCGGAGAAGTTTAGGGTGGGGCAGGGTGAGAAGAGCCACTGGTACCCAGGGAGCTGGAGGCCAGCATGGTTTGCTAATAGACACTACGGTAGACATTTCCCCGGTTTCTTTTGGACCGGACAATTGTTTGCTTTCTAATGCAGACTTCATTCCTTCTAGAAAAAAAACGATTTTGTTTTGTTTTGTGATTCCTGCCTGCCTTTCCTTCATAATAGTAATGTATTTTGAAAGACATATATTCATTCTGACCAATTAAAGATAATATTAACTTAGACTAGGTTATTCAAAATAGTCAGGTTCAAGTTAGCTATTTGGGATTATCACCATCATCCATTTCTTAAATAAATAAAACATTTCTAAAATAAATAAAAATAAGACACACTTTAAAACTCTAGTAGTCCTAGGAGTACAGAATTAGGTTGGTTGGTTAGGTGTTTGTTTTTGGTTTTGTTTCCTTCCTGACACTGGGTCTCCCCAGTGCAGTCTAGCCTTGACCTTGCTAGGTAGATACCGATGACCTTGAACTTCTGACCCTCCCGCCTCCATCTACCAAGTCCTAGGATTATAGGCATTTGCCATGACATCTGCCTAGGGTTTTTTGTTGTGTTTTTTATTTCGAATGATTCCACTCCCGTTTTACTTGGGATAACGTCAGTGCAACATTTGGACAACATGCACCCACATTCAGGATAACTTCTGCACACAGGAAAGCCACGCCCAAATGTCAGACTTGGCGGAAGCTAATGCACAGGTGGGCAAAAGAGAGTTGTGAAGTTTAGGAAAAGAAATGGGCAGGAAGCTGGGGAAGGGAGAAAGAACAAAAAAATGCAAGGTCCCATGTTGTCCCTCCTCACTTCCTGCCCCTCTGGGAATAGACCAGAATTTGTGTGTGTTAGGCAAGTACTTTACCCCTGAGCTACACTCCCAACCCCAAGATTCTTTTGAAGAAATAAATCTTGGCTGCTTCTCTCAGCATGTAACACTTATTTTAGATTCATTTTTATTTTTAATCGTGTGTGTGTGTGTGTGTGTGTGTGTGTGTGTGTGTGTGTGTGTATGTGTGTGTGTTGATATTGTTAGCATTCTGAACCGCCCCCCAGGGCCTGCCCAGCATCCTGATGTCATCCTACATGAAGTCCCCTTTAAGAGGAAAAAACTCCTCCCCCCTACTTCTCTCTCTCTCTCTCTCTCTCCCTCCCTCCCTCCCTCCCTCCCTCTTTCTCTTTCTCTTCTTCTCCCCCTGCCTTCCCTTCTCCCTTTCTCCTTTAATAATAAAACTTTCCACGTGGGTGCAGTGCCTGCCTGGTGTGAGTAAGTTTCCACTGTGCCCCCTTGGCCGCCGCTGGCATGGCACCTTAGTTCAAACCTGCCAAGGCCTCTCCCATGCCATTTCACAACAGCTGTGTTCATATCTGTGCAGGTGCCCTCGGAGGTCAGAGAGGACATCGGACCCTCTGGAGCTGGAGTTGGAAACAGCTGTGAGCTGCTCCTATGTGGCATTTTCAAACTAAATTCATCAACAGACAAAGGCAAGGACCATCTGTAGTTCATGTAAGCTATTCCTAAAATTTACATCTATCCTGACGGGTCCTGTACCCTGTGCTTCTGTGACTAAATACCATAAATGGCACATCCAGGTTTAGGATGTAGATCTGTTGTTTAGCACACATTCGGCTCTGGGTTCAAGCTCCAGCATTGCATAAAAACCACACATGGTGGTACATGCCTGTGATCTCAGCACTCAGAAGGCAGAGCAAGAGTTCAAGGTCATCTGTGATTATATAATTTTAGGACAACTAGGCTATATAAGACCTTGTCTCAGATGGGCATGGTGGTATACGACTTTAATCCCAGTACTTGGGAGGCATCCTGGTCTAAACAGTGAGTTCCAGCACAGCCAGAACTACACAGAGAAACCCTGTTTCAAAAAACAAAAAACAAATAACCACAAAAAAGATTTTGTCTCAAAAACAAAACAAAAAACACCCATAGTGCATCCTTTCCAAAATGGAGAGTTCAATATTACCCTCACTAGGCTCTTCCTAAATGCAAATAAGTCTGGATTAATTTAACACTTCCAGATTAGAGCCAGGCATAGGAGTCCATGCCTATAATCCCAGTACTGGGAGGTAGAAGCAGAAGGACCTAGAATTCAAGGCCAGCCTTGGCTACATGATGAGGTGTGGACAGCCTGTGCTACAAAAGACCATCTCAAAAATAAACAAAATAAAACACTCCCAAATTGGAAGGAAACCAGGAACCAAAAGAAAACACCCCATAAGGGAGAGGGAAAAGGGCCTGATGAACAGGGCTACTGGAGGTAACCCTGGGGGTACACTTCCCTAGCCCGAGGCTTTGTTAAACTCAGGCCAGGAATCTAGTCAGTCTGGTATTTTCTTTTGAACTCCAGTAGCTTCCCCACGCTAGCAACAGCCTATCCTTTTCCTTTTTATCTGTATCTCAAGGCTGCAACTGCTCAGTAGGTGCAGAGTGGAGACTGGAAGGAGGTAGGACAACTCGGGAGCAGCCACAGTCACAAGTCCCCACAGCGGTGGCGACAGCAGGGAGCAGGGCCCATCAGCTCCTCCCCCGTGCAGCAGTAGATACTTCAACAGAAGGGTAGGAAAGGAAGCCTCTGGAAGAACTTCCAGAGAGTCAGGATAACTTAACGCCTCAGTTCTCTTAGAAGAAAAGGAGAAGCAATCCTTTTCCTAGTGTTAGACGTGGAAGACGCTCTGACACTCTGTCATCCCTGACTCGCTAGAAAGGCTCTGCTCACTGTTATGCCCAGATTGTGACCCCCCCCCCAAAGAGACCACCGACGACCTTGGATGTCCAGAATGCAACAGCAAGGTTTATTCTGCAGATACAAGTCTAGACAGGGACTCATTCCTACACCCACTACAGTGAGGCAGGGAGGAGTACCTCTTTCTTGGGGAAGTTAGTTTTTATAGGCAAAACCCATAAAATTTCTTAGAGGGGAGGGGGTTAGTATGGGTCCATCCTTGATTGGTCAAGTTTTTCCCGGGCCTGGACTTTATTTTATTTTATCTTATCTGTTTGCCCTGTCAGGAGTTTTACAACTCATCTCCGGGGTCTGGTCTTGTTATCTCTGGAGAGGGGCATCTCGTGGTTAATTGGTTACCATCAGACATCCTGACTCTGTTCTTTTGTTCCTGGGGCTGGCGCCATCATTTCTGGGGACTTGAAACTGGCCTGGCCTAGATCACAGTCCCCAAAGCCGCCACTGAAGACTTTAGGTACAGAATGCAAAAGTAAGGTGTTTTCTAAGTTTACAAGTCTCCAGGGAGGCTCTTCCAAATCTCTCACTCACAGCAGGGAGGTGGGAAGGAGACTTGTATCTGCAGAATAAACCTTGCTGCTGCATTCTGGACATCCAAGGTCTTCAGTGGTCTCTTTTGGGGGTCACAATCTGGGCATAACACTCACCTCAAAAGCAGTTTTTAATAATTCCTTCCCTGCGGCTGGAGAAATAGCTGAGTGAGTCAAGTGTTCTCTATATGAACACGAGGCCTGAGACTGAGCTCCAGTACCACGTGAAAGAGAGGCAGGTGTGGGGACGCACACTTGGAATTCCGGCACTGGGAGAGTAGAGACAGGCGGGTCCCTGGGACGTGCTGATTGGCAAACCTAGCCTCATCAATAAGCCCCGGGTCTCAAAAATAAGATAGAAGGTATCTGAGAAGGAATGACACCTGAGGTTGGCCTCTGGCCTCCAGATATGTGCTTGCACACACACACACACACACACACACACACACACACACACACACACACTCAGAAACCCTGTCTCAAACAAAACAAAACAAAAATCCAAAACGACTTTGTTTGTGTGGGTGCTTTGCCTGCATGTATATGAGCACCACATGCACGCAGTGCCCACGGAGGGCAGAAGATGGCATCAGATCCACGGGAGCTTGAGTTACAGACGCTTGTGAACCACCAGCTGGGGGCCAGGAATTGAACTCTGGTCCTTTGGAAGAGCAACCAATGCTTTAGCTCCCGGTCATCTCATTGTTCTTGTCATTTGATAGACACATGAGGATCTTTCCAGACCAGGACTTTTAACTTGAGAAGGGAGGACTATCAAAGAGAGAAAAAATAAATTTCTTTAAAGATTTTATTTTTTGATAGGCATGGTGGCACATGCCTTTAATCTCAACACTCAGAAAACAGGCACATGGGATCTCTGTGAGTCAAGGCTAGCCTGGTCTACATAGCAACTCCCAGTCTAGCTAGGGCTGCATAATGAGGACCTGTCTCAAAAAAAAAAAAAAGACTTTATTTTAAATTATGTATATAGGTGTTTGGGGTGGAATGTTCACGTAAGTGCAGTTGCCAGAAGAGGATGTCAGATCCCCTGGAGCTGGATTTATGGGCTATTGTGAGATGAGGGTACTAAGAACCTAACTTGAGTCATCTACAAGAGCAGTATGTGCTCTTAACTGCTGAGCCATCTCTCCAGCCTGAGAAAGAAATTTATCAGAAACGTCTGGAGAGATTTTCCAAATTCAGTGTGTTTCCCCCTGACCAGAGCATAGAAAAACTGCTGAGGGAATTTGTGTTTTGAGAATGTCTGCATCTAATTCAAACCTGCCAGTTCCCCTCTGCCCTGCCATACTGTTGCTCTGAATTCTGTTGTCTGTCTTCACAAGAGACTCCTTCATCTCTGTGCTAGGTCCCTTTTGACATCCCAACTCATCTGACAGCCAGAGATCACATGAAAGCTTGTGCCTGGAAAGGCTTGACTGCTACTTAACTGTGGACCCTGAAGAACCTTCTGGATGCAGATTGAGCAGTAGCTGCCTCTTCCCTTGCTTTCCCCCCAGCAGTTTTCCAGAGCAGGCTACCAGTGACTCTGGCGATGGAAGCCGACAGCAACAGCTCCTCTGGGAGCTTCATTCTGATGGGGATATCTGACCACCCGCAGCTGGAGATGCTCTTCTTCGCAGTCATCCTCTCCTCTTACCTGTTGACGCTGCTTGGGAACTCAACTATCATCCTGCTTTCCCGTCTGGATGCCCGGCTCCACACACCCATGTACTTCTTCCTCAGCAACCTCTCTTCCTTGGACCTTGCCTTTACTACCAGCTCAGTGCCCCAAATGCTGAAAAATCTCTGGGGGCCAGACAAGACCATCAGCTATGGTGGGTGTGTAACTCAACTCTATGTTTTCCTTTGGCTGGGGGCCACTGAGTGCATACTGCTCGTGGTGATGGCATTTGATCGTTATGTGGCAGTTTGCCGACCCCTGCACTATATGACCGTCATGAATCCACGGCTCTGCTGGCTGCTGGCTGCTATCAGCTGGCTGGGGGGCTTGGGCAACTCTGTGATTCAGTCAACATTCACTCTGCAGCTCCCATTTTGTGGACACCGGAAGGTGGACAACTTCCTGTGTGAGGTACCCGCCATGATTAAATTGGCCTGTGGAGACACGAGCCTCAATGAGGCTGTGCTCAATGGTGTCTGCACTTTCTTCACTGCTGTCCCGCTAAGCATCATCCTGATCTCCTACTGCTTCATCGCTCAGGCAGTGATGAAGATCCGCTCTGTGGAGGGACGTCGGAAGGCCTTCAATACCTGCCTGTCCCATTTGGTAGTGGTCTTCCTCTTCTATGGCTCGGCTATCTATGGGTATCTGCTTCCAGCTAAGAGCAGTAATCAGGACCAGGGCAAATTCATTTCTCTCTTCTACTCTGTGGTCACACCCATGGTGAATCCGCTCATCTACACTCTAAGGAACAAAGAGGTGAAGGGGGCCCTGGGAAGGCTGCTGGGGAAGGGAAGAGAAGCCAGCTGAGGAGAGAGCCGTCTTCTTTATCTCTGCTGCCTCTTTGCCCTGCATTCTTTTTCTTCTGAGAAGCTCTGTCCTCGGCAAAGTCAAGGCATGGTCCTGACAATACTACACTTTTGGAACATGGTTAGTGTTATTGAGACGTTCTGTATTTATTTACCAGAAATTTACTGTGAGCTACAGATAACAGGGTAGATATGTACTGTTGCGGGTCCAGGGGTTATTGACCTAGCCCAGACCTATTTCACTGTCTCTGTCTCTGATGTTCATGTTTATTATAACATATTTCTACTGAATTTTTTACTTCCTAAGGAAAGAAACATGAAGTTTCTTGGAAAATTTTACTATAATCCCATGAATTCAGACCCTGCATTATCAACTTCGGATGAAAATAGAATTCATCTTTATATCTTTGCCATCCATCATCTTGATTCAATTCTCTGTCTAGTCTCAATACTACAGGCTAACTAATCATGCTTCCTACCTCCATCACCTGATTACCCTCTTCTGCATGTCCACATCCAAGTTTGCCTTCTACCTAATGTAATAATTAAAGAGAAAACTTAGGCAAGGCCATTTGCCCTTCAGTGCTCACCCAAAAGGCCCTGATTTGGCTTTACTAAAATAATTCCAGCTAACAGCCAGAGCCGTCGGGTTTGCTACGAGTCTGGTCGCTGGATTGTCGAATACGCCAAATTATCCAAGTGTAGGAGCCCAAGGGTAACCCATCCATGAAGCATGTCCTCTGCTTCGAGTTTCAGTCTTCTAGCACCTCTGTTCCAGGGACCCAGCAATTGGTTTAGGACAAAACTTACCTCAAGAAACTTATATATTGGAATCGTAACACCTATATGGCTCTTCCCATTACTAGAATGGCCAAAAGTGTCATCTGCCACCACAGTTCACACACCCCGTGCCCAGACAGAAGCCAGGCTAATATGGGGCAATCGTGTAGCATTACCAGGAAAAAGGGAAGTCCGTAGGTTTTAGAAGTAGTTTCAAAGTATCTTCATTTTCCATATCTGAAACACAAGCCTATTACAAAGTATATGCTCCATAAGTGCTTAGTGAATGAAATTATATTATTTGCTGGCAGTCTCCTTTTTATGATGAGAACTAAACTTTCCATGCAGACCATTTTCACATTTTCTGGCTTGGGGGTCTTGTTCCTCAAATAGAATGGAACAGTGATACATTTCCCCTTCTACATTTTCAGAATTGCCCTTAAAAAACTAACAATATTACCCTGTCCTGAATTTTTTCTCTAGCTAAGATCAAAGCAACAACCTGATTTTTCAGTTCTGCCCATAGCAATAGTCAGTATGTCTCCAGAATGAGCCAACTAATATTATTTTGGTGATTTCATCAAACTGTATCATCTTGAATGCACAAAATATTGATCAGCACATTCCATCAGATCAAGTTCTCAGAGACAAGCTTACAGTGCCCAAGCTCCTAAAGCTGATCTAGAAAGCAGAACTCAGCTGACTCATGGGAGTAGTAATGCCAAGGAGATGGGGAGCTCTGTCCTCTGGTCAATTCATTTGAGTTTTGAAATGACTACAAGAAATATAGAGGGAAAACAGAGTCATTCTTTAAAGGTTTCAAAGTTCTGCAGAACTTCCTTCTGGACACCTTAAAACTGACTTGGAGTAGGAACACCAGGAGTTGGGGGAGAAAAACTTAACTGGTTATAATTGCCCTTTTTTGTTGTTGTTTTGAGATAGGGTCTCACACTGTAGGTCATGCTGGCTTTAAGATCACAGTAATCCTACTGCCTCAGCCTTCAAAGTGCATGGATTAGAGGCGTGTTCCATGACGCCCAGTTGTTCTTTTCCCCTTAAAGATGGTTGAGGGCTGAATATGACCATGTTTCACTGTCCACAGTATGAAGTTATCAACAGTGGGGCTGAAGAGATAGCTCAGCAGGCAAGGAGCTGCTCTTCCAGAGGACCCGGGTTTGGTTTCCAGAACCCACATGGCGGCTCACAGCTGTCTGTAACCCCAGTCCCACCCAGGGGATTCAGTGCCTTCTTCTGGCCTCCAAAGGCACCAGGCATAGATGGGGTGCACAGACATAAGTGCAGACAAAACACCCAAATACATAAAAAGTAATTAATTAAATTAAAAAAGAAATTCTCAGCTGGGTGGTAGTGGATCACACCTTTAATCCCAGCACTCAGGAGGCAGAGGAAGGTGAATCTCTGGGTTCAAGGCCAGCCTGATCTACAGAGTGAGTTCCAGGACAGCTAGGGCTACACAGAGAAACCCTGTCTCAATAAAACAGAAAGAGAGAGAGAGACAGAGAGAGAGAAAGTCCCAAGAAAAAAATTGTTATAAAAAAGAAAATGATTGAAACTGGGTGTATAGCTCAGTGGTATAATAGAACACTTGCCTGGAACGCATGAGGCTCTAGGTTCAATCCCTAGTTCTGCAATGAATATAAATAAATAAATAAATAAATAAATAAATAAATAAATAAATAAATAATAAAAACTGGTAGCCGTCTTGAGGGCTAGAGTATTTGATTGGCAGCCGCCAGATCCCTCCAATGCAGCCTCTGTGGCTGTTGCCAGGAATAGAATCCAACAACTGCCAGGTGGGGGTGAGTTGGTTGCGAAGATTCCGCAGCAACTACAACTCCAGCACCACCATTTCCAAAGAGAGTGAGGCAGCGTACTTAAGTCCACGTTTAGATGACCCCCTCCCCAGGGACATCATAGCCGTCCCTGCTTGGGAGGAGCTCCTTTCAGACCACAGGGTCCCTGGAGCAGCCCTGACTAAAGCTGCAGCTGTCTGTAGTCGTGACAGCGGGGACATTCTAGCTGCAATGAAGTCTTCTCTGGGCACCTGAACCTCAACGGAAGTTTCCATGGACTATCCGAGACTGGACTGGAGGTTTCCGAGCATCTGGGAGGTGTTGCTGTCAAGACAGTTGTGACTTTGGTCATGTTGTTTGATTGGCAGCTGCCTCACTTTTTCATTTCAGGTATTTCCTGAGCAACTGGAGTGTTCTCCGAAAGCATCGCACCTATGCCTACCTCTCAGCATGTCTTCTCTTCTTTCTCCTCCAGCATTTTCAGTTTCAGTTCTTATGTTAGGGCCACTGGGAGTTGATTTTTCTTCAAGGTGAGAAGTAAGGACTTATTCTTATTCTTCTACATCTGAACTCAGGATTTACTTAGCAACTGACTGGGGCCATTTCCAATTAAGTAGATAGGTCAGGAATGGACTTTAAAGTGGTCTAGAAATATATATTGAGTCAAATTGCTTCCTGGAAAAAGATATAAAAGTATAGAAACAAAGCCGGGCGGTGGTGGCGCATGCCTTTAATCCCAGCACTCGGGAGGCAGAGCCAGGTGGATCTCTGTGAGTTCGAGGCCAGCCTGGGCTACCAAGTGAGTTCCAGAAAAGGCGCAAAGCTACACAGAGAAACCCTGTCTCGGAAAAAAAAAAAAAAAAGTATAGAAACACAGAACTTTGTTCTACCTGTACAATGGAATATTATGTGAGGACAGGTCAGTTCCGACAGAATAGGAACCAGATACAGGTACAAAGTTTTCTTTCAGGGTAATGAGAATGACATAACTAGATACAGTGGTTATGTAAATAACACTGTAATTGCTCACTCTATACTGGTTAATTTTTGTTATGTGAATTTTTATCTAAAATTTTCTATGTGTACCTTTGCATTTGTACATGCTTTTGTAGGCCCAAGATCAGCTGTGGAGGTCATTTCTCAGGAGCTCTTCACCTGATGTCGTTCCCCCCACACCCTGTGACCCTGATGTCGTTCCCCCCACACCCTGTGACCCTGATGTCATTCCCCCCACACACCCTGTGACCCTGATGTCGCACCCCCCACACCCTGTGACCCTGATGTCGAACCCCCTAATCCCCTTCTCCAACCCCTGTTGCTGGGGCAGAAGGTCAGGAATTATTTTTAAACACTTTCTCAGTAGACATCTTGATTAGGTTTTCATTTGTTACTTGCTTTTTAAACTTTTTTTTGTTGTTCTTGTTTTGTTTTTCAGAGACAGAGTCTCACTATGTAGCTCTGGCTGTCCTGGAACTCACTATGTAGACCAGGCTGGCCTTGAACTCACAGAGATCAGTCTGTTTCTTCCTCCTGAGTGCTGGGATTAAAGGCATACACCACTATGCCTGGCTGCTTTTTAAACTTTTTAAAGATTTATTATTTTTAATTATATGTAGGTGTATGTGTTTGTATGTAAGTATGTACATATGTGTGCAGGAGTGTGGGAGTGCAGGAGGAGTTCAGATACCACTGGAGGCTAGAGGTGTTGGATCCCCTGGATGCACATGGTTCTGAGCTGCCTGAGACAGTACTGGGAATACAATGCAATCCTCTAGAAGAACAGCAAATGCTCTTAACCACTCTCCAGCCCTCGTGGGTTTTTTGTTGTTGTTGTTGTTTGGTTGGTTTTTTTTTCTTGTTTTTTGTTTTGTTTTGTTTGTATACTTTGTTATTTTGAGGCAAGGTCTTTCATTGGCCTGGAAATTAGCACCTAGGCTAGGCTAGGTGGCCAAGGAGTTCCAATGATCCACCTGCCCTCCCTCCACCTCCCCAGCACTGGGATTATAACAGCTCACTACCACATCCAGTTTTTTCACATGGATCCTCATGCTTGTGTGGCAAGCACTATACTGACTGGGCTACCTCCCATCCTCAAGAAATAAATTAATTTAAGAAATAAAATAAAATTAATTAAATAGTTTTCTAGAGCATCCTAGCATATACCTATAATCGCAGCACTGGGGAAGCTGAGAAAGGAGGATTATAAGTTGGGCTACCTTGTGAGATCTTAAAACAACAAAAAGTTTTCTATAAAAAAAAGTGAGTAAAAAATAAAAGGGGCTGGAGAGATGGCTCAGCTATTAAGAGCATTGGCTGCTCTTCCAGAGGACCTGGGTATTACAGAATGTTATTTTAAGAAATGTTACATTTGTTTATGCTGTAGAACATTTATTTAATGATGCAAAGA